GGGGGGGCAGAGAGAGGAAGAGAGACAAAAAGAGACTCCATAAATTCAAAATCCAAGCGTGCCCACAGCATGTCATAGAATTCTCATTCACGGGGAGTTAACACAACAATACCCACATTTCACCACGGACAGATTAGGAAAACACCATGCACTAACAAAAGAAGAATGAGGAGACCACACAAGAACATCCACCAGCAATCTGATTCAGTAACAACAAACACATTCGCCGGGTCTCGGAACAAAACTGACACCTCATCTTTCTACAGTACTTACGCTTGGTTGCATTCATAATATCTGGAGGCAAATTTTTCCATGAGTCTGTCAATTTTCTGCGACTCTCCCGGCAGACGGAAACCTTCCAGGAACTTCCTCAGGGCGGAGACGATGTCCATCTCGATGAAGTTCATCTGGTCGATGTAGGCGTACATCACCTCCTTGTGAAGTCTGTGAGCAAAACAAGCATATAATAGAATGATATATTTACCATTCCATCGTTTGTGTCTTTCGTTTAAGTAAGAGGTTTACAGCACTTGCAACACAATAAGGTCATATATAAGCGCCAAAGATTGGAGGGGTTACAAGAGAGTAAGAAACACAAAAAAGAAGGAGGGAAGAGCAGAACGATAGATGTTTGATGGGAAAGAAGGAGTAAACCACATCAGAGCACCTGCCAACCAATCGCTTGTGTCTGTTTGAGTACAGAGCAGCTCATCAACACAATAACGGTCAATAAAAGCTGGGAAATAGTGGTAAGACAGTTAGTTTTAGTTTTAGTAAAGGTTTTACGGCGCTCGCAACTGCATAAGGTCATATCAGCGCCAGAAGATTGGAGGTGCTACAAGAGAGTAACATACACAAAAAAGAAGGAGGGGAGATAAGGACCATAGATGTTTGATAGGAAAGAAGAAGCAAACCTCACCAGAGCACCCGTCAACCACCCATTAAGACAGACAGACACAGAAACACCAAAGAGAAAGAAAAGAAGAAGGACCTACCAACAGCGCCCCCCAAACCACCCATCATTTATGCTACGACAAGGACTCCTTCATATTAAGTACGAAAACTGAAAAAAAAATGTTTTATGTGCAATGGACAATAAATTACAATAAACATAGATGAGTACACGATAACTCAAAAAGAAAATCTTCCAGTTCATTAAAAAATATTCTCTCTTTTACGAAACAACAATTCCCTTCCTTATACGTCTCTTCCCAGTGTTTCGTTCAGTACTCCAAACTCAAAAGATAAAATTTGAACTTAACACTTTGTGGTCACTTGGTGCAATAATGCGTCGATGAAAACTATCCATTCCGGTACAGGCCCAAGAAGTCCGTTGCAGTCACTCTCCTGGCTCGGTGACCAGAAGGGGTATTTTTTACTGCTGGCTATGTGACTGCAAAGGGTTAATCCCCTTCACAACTTTATTAAATCCTCACATCCCATGCATAAATTGGAGCACTTGTCTAAATGTTCGTCCAAAAACTTTGATGGCGTGAAAAACCCTCAAACATTCCAGAAAATAACCATCATATTTACTGGAACAAACAACTACATTGAAGAGGTTAAGACTGTTCTAACTATAAAAGAAACATCTTTACGGGTGCACTTACTTCTCATTCTCCCCCAAGAAATCGCCTACAACAGTCTGAAAAACAGGGTAAAAATTGGGTCACCAAAAGCTTTAAAGATACACTTTCTTTTTTAAAAAAAGAAAGAAAGAAAGAAAGAAAGAAAAAAAAAGAAACCTTACTAGGTGCTTAGTATAACAAATTATCAAGAGAAGATTTTATAATCACTTATCTTGAAAGTTGTATAAAGAGAATGTAAAGGAAACTACATGCATATAAATCACAACATTTAGCTTAGGCTCTTACAAATGAAAACTTAAAGACAAAAAAGGAAAACAAGGGTCTCTCAAACTAATATAATATAAAAAATCAGATATACGAAGAAATGAGTAAAGAGTATGAACCATCATACTTTATAGTTTGCAACCTACAAAGGCATTTCCCAGCCTACCAGCTAAGAAACCCTACACAAGAACATTTATAAAAGAACAATAATTTTGTAAAACCTCTTTTCAAACTTACAACTCATTAATATACAGAACTTTGCTCTTTGCTTTGCCACATCAACTTTTTCTGAAGATAATGAATACAAGCTACAAAAAAATTGGAAGATAATAAAAAGTACACAAGCAGAACCACAAATGCAAAACCCTCCCATAAGCAAACACACCCACACACGTACAAGAAAGTTTCCCACAATACCCGTCAAATGATCTCACCTTGTCCAGCCTAACCCTCCCACAAGCACACACACACACATACACGTACAACAATAAAGTTCCCCACAATAACAGCCAACTGCTCTCACCTTGTCCAGCCTATCTTCCGAATGGAAGAACTCTGCGATATCCTCTGGCAGACGTCCCAGCATCTCCTGCTCCTGTAGATACTGCACACCTTTCAGTGGCTTCTTGTTGAACCTTTCATGGAAAGATGAATGAACGTTTCTTTTTAACATTTTAGTAAGCGTTTGACAGCCCTTGCAACACAGTTATGTCACATAAGTGCAGAAGATTAGAGGTGCTACAAGAGAGTAACAATCACAAAAAAGAAAGAGGAGAGATAAGGATGATAGATGTTTGATAGGAAAGAAGGAGTAAACGACACAAGAGCACCCTTCAACAAATGAATGAATATGAATGTGTCTATATTATGAGAAAACAGCCATCAAATCTGAAGACTGCAGTGTTAAAGTTTGAACCCTTACAATATAAAAATTAAGTAAAATGTTCTGTTCTTTTCCAGATGAACCTAGTTATTTTTCTCCCTTTAAAATATTATGCAACTTTAAATTGATTGGAGCTGGGGGGGTGCAACTATTTTTTTAAAACAACTCTGCTGTTCTTCCCTGTCGTATTCACCTATTTTAGGGAAGCTAAAAAAAAAGTACAAAATAACGTTTAATAACACTGTACAATCTTTGAGGAATAACAAAATTCACTCAGAGATCACTGAAAACATTTTACATTCTTTGAGGAGCAAAACCATTCACTCACAGGCTAAATGCCATCTCCAGATATTTTTCATAAAATTTTACAATCTTTGAGAGACATGATCATTCACTCACAGCTCAATGACAACCTTTTACAAACTTTGAGGAAAAGCACAATTCAATCTTAGATCACTGATAACATTTAAAATGTCTCAATCTTTGAGGAATAACACCATTTACTCACAGCTCATTAACAACACGTCGCAAGTTTACTGACAACACGCCACAAGTATACTGACAACACGCCACACCACAATAACACAATTCACTCACAGCTCAATGCCGATCTCAATCACTTCCTTCTGCTGCTTGAGAACCTCAAACTGCTCTGGGTTGTCGGTGGGCGCCTGGCCCGGGGTGGTGGCGCCGGGCGTGTTGCCCGAGGTGTGGGCCGAGCTGTTGGAGCTCAGCGAGTTGGTGCTCCCGTAGCTGGTCATCGTGCCGCTGCCAGAGTCGTTGTCCGTCTCCGTGTACGGCTTGCTGTCCTGGCCTGTGGGCAAAGCGGTCGGGGGAGGTGAATAAATTAATAAAAATAATAATAATAATAATAATAATAATAACAATAATAAAAACAATTTTCTTTCCACTCAAAACAGGTGGAGGGGTCTGGTCTGTTTCAGACATCTTTATTTTTTTTAAAAGGGCAATATGAATTTTGAAAAAAAAATTAAATTACCATTTACCTTACTTAATAGAGATTGATGAATCAAGTGATAAATGATACTTTAAAAAGAAAGATGATGAATAAATATAAAAGGGACTCGGGAAAGATGAGAAAACTACCAGTCCATCAGCTTTTTACCAGATGCAAACTGCAGTTCTCAGACACTTAATCAAATGTCTCATGTCTCAATCTTTGGAGAATAAGAGTATTTACTAACACAGCTCATTGATAACATTTTATCATCTTTGAGGAATGAAATCATAAAAACAATAATTTTCTTTCCACTTAAAACAGGCAGAGGGGTCTGTTTCAGACACCTTTAAAAAAAAGGGCAATGTGAATTTTGAAAACAAATAGACTACCTTTTACTTTATTTAGAGAATAGAGATTGGTGAATCCACTGATTAAGGTACTCAGAAAAGAAAGACAATGAAATAAACATAAAAGGGACTCAGGAAAGATGTGGAAATTACCAGTCCAGCAGCTTTTTACCACATGCAAACAGCAGTTCTCAGACACTTAATCACTTAATCATACAACAAAGGAAAATGTCCAGAAAGAGGACTTAAATCACAATAAAAACATGTTGAAAAGTACTTAAAAGTTCTTTTAAACCACCAGCATTATCACACAAAATCAAACATTAAAAATAATATCAGTAAATTGCATTCACAAGAACAAAGTCATGCACATTCTTATAAACCTAGCACAAAACATATGACATGAAACGGGTCCAAAGTCAAAGGTTTCTTTCAGCAAGATGTACATTTTTTTAAAGACGAACATTCGTCAACAGTCAAGACAGCTGAAACAGAGAGTATTCTCACCGAGATTTGATTGGGAATGTGGGTTAATGTACAGGTCCTTGCTCCACTCCACCATGCACTTGAGTATAGAGACGAGGCACTGGAGGCCTTTGATGCGCATGCTCTTCTCTTGGTTCGGGGTCGCACCTGAGGGGGAGCATCAAAAACATACACACAGTCAAGGTTGCTGTTACTTTATTGTTTTCAACACCTTTAGGCCTAACTTCATGTAGCACTCTTCACATGGCTGTAACAAATATCACAGAATATAAAAAGTTATATAAATATAAGTTACAGATGAAATTGTCGAAGACAACCACCCATTGTAGAGGAGAAAGGTAACTGAAGTGTGCAGGGGGAAAACGACAGTAGTCACAAACTGGAAATTATGAAGGTGTCAATTTTAAAAGCTTGCGGACTCAGAACTTCATATTTGTTTGACTGGCGGTTTATTGTTAAGTGTCGTTGAAAGGTAAATCAAACAACATTAATCAACCAACAGTTGAACAGAAATACAGTTTTGAGTCAACAAGCGTTTAAAATTGGTACCCTCACAGTTTTTAGTTTGTGACTACTGTCGTTTTGCCCCGGTAGTCTTCAATTGTCTTAGACAGGTATACATCTTGGACAGTGTCAGTATAATATTTTCAAAAAACACAACCCGAGAAATGAGAAGTAGTTATTTGTAGAGGTGAGAGATCTTAGAGAGATGGCCAATAAAGCATGCTCAACTGAATTAATTTTATATCCGTGACAGTGTTAAAACATACGAGAAGTTGGTTATTTTACGTACACAAAGTAAGTCAAATAGACAGTTTTATATAGTTTTGTATCCATTCCAATCAAGGCTCAAACTTCTGCATGCCAATTCCCTGGACACTTATCATGGCATGAAGCTTTTTTTTTTCCCCAGAGAACGGAAAGTCATCAACCGCCTCCCTTTTCCCATAGGCCACAAGACTTCCCTTAGGGCCTGTGAGCACCACAAAATACAGCATGTGGATGATTGGCAGGTGCTCTAGACTGGTTTGCTTCTTCTTTCCTATCAAACATCTATCATCCTTATCTCCCCTTCTTCTTTTTTATGTTTGTTACTCTCTTGTAACACCTCCGATCTCATGGCGCTCATATGGCCTTATGCAGTTGCGAGTACCGTAAAACCTCTACTAAAACAAAAAAGTACAGCATACCTAGTTCCAGTGCCTGTCTGCCCTGAGCGATCTTGGAGAGGTCACCGATGAGTCGCTCGAAAATGTTGGCCAAGGCCAGATCACAGTCATAGTTGAGATAAATGTCTACAACACTTTGAGCATCTGACAGGATCAAGAGGGGGGAAAAAAATGTAATCTAAGTGAAATACATCAACTAACATCATGATATGATAGATACATATTTATGATCGAATTACAAATCGTTTTTAAAAATGTAAAGGAGGCGGAGGGAGAGGGAGAGGGAGAGGGAGAGGGAGAGGGAGAGAGGGAGGGAGAGAGAGAGAGAGAGAGAGAGAGAGAGAGACAGAGAGCGAGAGAGAGAGAGAGAGCGAGAAAGAAAGAGAGAAAGGTCTACCAAGAGCTCAATCACCAATACGCTTTTTTTTTAAAGGCTATGGGGCTTGACATGGGATATTTCACACTGAAAAAAAAAATTTAAATCACACATTCTCAGCTTTAATTTGAAAACATTTTTTTAAAAACTTTTTTAAAACTGAAAAGAAAATACAAATGTCCTTCATGTTCACTATCCAATTTGATCCCAAATACACAATATTTGCCAGTCATCTCTTTTTAGAAACTATTTCATCTACGCAGCTTGAGAAGTTGGGAAGAGGTACCTGCACATATTCTGGTGAGAGCCTGGATGACCATCCACTTGTGCTCAAAAGAGCTGCTCGGCGTCTCCAGAATGTACAGGAAAATTTCTTTGAAGAACACCTGCAAAGGGAATAATAAATGTGTCACAACGTGGTGGAATCAGGCGCCCGTCAAATTTTGGGCAGGAGGGGTTATTGGTATCATCTGAAAGCTTATTCATTTGCATGGTTTTCAATGAAAACAATATCCATCTAGCTTGAATAGAAGTCGAGCTATTTGCTATTGAAGAAGGTGGGGTAGCCTGGTTTCAGCGGTAAAGTTAATGAGAAAATGGCCGCCAAAGTTTGATAACTTCAATAGCTTAAGATTTATTGAAAACTGAAAAGTACATATTTTGTGCCTTTAAACAACATTTTTCAGTAAAATTCATATGGAAATGTGTTTTCATATTATCATGAAAGGTGTTTAGCCAAATAACAAAATTTCAATAAAAATTGACCAACTGGTGTAAAAATGCCTCTTTCTTCTATTTTATTATTTAGATGAGCGCCTGATTTCACCACGCTGTCTCGCAAATGGTCGCTTTAAAGGACAAGCGGGCTGACCCAGATTTCGGGGGGTTCCAGAAATCTTGGCTTACACTAAAAGTGAAGACTGTCCTACCTATAGAAAAAGTTTGGTATCATTGGTGTATATATTTGTTTGGTAATAGAGAAAACTCTCCTTGTATTTTAAAGAAACTGAACAAGGGGGGAAAACTCTACCTTCGATTTTCTGAAAACAGCATTATTAAGGATAGCCCCATTAAGCTTAAAAGCGACCAAATGTGGACAGAGTTCAACTCTCACAGGAGAATTTAGACTGTAGTAATTAAACAAAAAAAGGCAAAACCCAGGCACTGTCAAGTAAAAGTTTAGACCCTTTGGAAAACTCTTAAATCTACCAAAACATGACTGAATAGACTTCTTTCAATTTTTCCCGAAGATCGAGAGTGCATATTAACTTCTATTAGACATAGTAAGATGAAGAACTTCAAACACTAATTGAAAGCAACAAAATGGAATAAAAATTAGACTAATTTTACATAACAACAAACAAATCAGTGAGTTATTTATTAAATGAGCAAAAAAATTGTTCTGATTTTAAAAAAACAAAAAAACACAGGTGAGTCAAAATGTATTTCTCAGTCAGTCTCCATGATTTTCTTCATAAGCGACGACACCTTTCATTCCCCATACATACACACCTCAATCTGCATTTTTAGATGCTGCTTGAAGTTAGCCAGCAAAGTGATGAAAATGGCCAGAGAGAGCTCAAACACTTCCGGCACGGAGCTGACCCCGTTCTTGGAGAGGGCCACACACAGGTATTGCTTTATTGCGTTGATGAACATGGCATTGGTACGAAAGACTGGGCCGGCGCTTTGTAAGATGGACAACAGAAGTTGCAGGGAAAGAATTTTGGAGCGGAGTTCATGGGACCTGAAAAAAAAAAAAGAATGAAAGAAAGAAAAAAAACCAAAGCAGATAAATGCCAAAGCTCTGGAATATCACATATTCTTTTAGTTCAGAAATATATCCAACATATTTTTTTAGTTCAGAAATATATCCAAAATAAGTAGAACCCCCTGAGTGTGTATGTCCAAGAAAGATTTTTGCCGGAGATGTCCAATGCGAATTTCTTGTGCCCAAGATTTCTAAGCAACGTTTTTGTGACTTTTCTCCCCATGAGTGACAGTTACAGTCAGGCTTATTGTCAAACCTATATACGTGAAGTATGCTGACAAAATGAGTTGCTTCTCCAATTTGAACCGTTTGGAAATAGATACATCATGCTTTCAGGTGAAGCTTTTACAATTTGTAAATATTACATAATAAAAGGCATGTTTATACTTCAAAAATATGGCATCAATTGAAAATCTGCAAATTTGACCATAGAGTCAATTTTTGGCCAAGACCTCCCTTCATGATTTGCGAGAAGTAACTCATTTGAATAACAAGTCTCACATATGACAAGTCAGGACCTCAGTGCTTTCTGATCGTATCTCCATTTTTTTTAAACAGTGAAAATAGGGGACTTCTTCTTAAGCTCACTCTTTGTTACGAACTGTTTTCACTGTTGTTAAAAAATGGGAGATACGATAAGAAAGCAAAGCCCGAAGCGATGACCTGTCATGGATGGCAAGAAGCACTCACTTTGGGTCGGGCGGTCCGTCGCCCAGGGGCTTCATGGAAAGTTTGCACAGGCTGCGGAAAACGAGGAACGCGTCTTTCTGCAGGATGTGGCTGAAGGCCCCCTGGAACTGCTCCGAGCCCTCGCCGCCTTCCGTCTGGTCGTCCGGGGACAGAGCCACAGCTACGTGCAGGCAACGAAACAAAGCAGAATGCTAATTAAAACCCTTCAGGAATAATGATCATAATAATGATAAAAATAATGATAATGATAACAACAATGATAATAACAATAATATTCATAAACATAATAACAATGACAATAAGAAGAAGAAGAAGAATCATCATCATCATAACAATAACAATGATAATAATATCAATAACAATTGCGATAATAAAAATAATATAGTAATAATAATAACAATAACAATTATAAAAATAATAATAATAGTAATAATAATAACAATAACAATAATAATAATAAAAAATGATAAAGATAATGAAAATGATGATGATAACAATAATAATAATATATGACATTGATGTAGCACTTGACCATGATTACAGAACACAAGTTTACAAATACAAGAACAACACATAAAGAGAACATTGTGCTCTGACTTGAAATCTAGATATATCTTTTAAATTACAAAACAAAAACCCCCAAATTACATGAGCAAACTTTTGAAAGAATTAAAAGACTGACCTTCAAACCTACATAGTGCTCAGGAAAAGATAATACAGATAGACAGACAAGAATAAATGAAAGAAAGTTTTTTAAAAGTCAGTCCTATAATACAGATAGAAAGACAAGAATAAATGAAAGAAAGCAAAAAAAAAGTCAGTCCTATCACCCGCTAGATAACAATAAAATGACGTTTGAAATATACAAATTTGAACCAGATGTTCGTCAAGACAGATATCAAATGCACTCGGTTGTACTTGAGTCATGAATTTCGCGAGAGAACAAATGGGTGGTATGGCAATAAATAGGTCAGCCACTTGTAGGAGGAGAAGTCATTTCCAGCCCGGGTAACAGCTGATGGCTATAAAACAATTAAGACGCTTGAGTACTGGATATAATATTATATAGCACACAACATAGTCAGTTCTTTTCCAGAAGAGCCAGCAGCACGCGAAAGAAAAATGTAAAAAGTCGCAACTGTTTTAGTTTTAGTAAGAGTTTTACGGCACTTGCAACACAATAAGGTCATATAAGTGCTGAAGATTAGAGGTGTTACAAGAGAGTAACAAACATTAAAAAAAGAAAGAGGAAGGATCAGGACGAAAGATGTTTGACAGGAAAGAAGGAGCAAACCACACCAGAGCACCCGCCAACCACCCACAGTCGCAACTGTCTGAGAGAGCCACCTATGGTTGAGCAGAAAAGTCGTTGTCTTAGGCAGGGTGAACATCTTGGACAGTGTCATTATGATATTATGTGAAGCGTGCCGACAAAATGAGTCACTTCTCGGATTCAAGCCTTACGGAAATAGATACATCACGTTTATAGGTGAAGTTTTTACAATTTATAAGTATGAAATAATAAAAGGCACGGTATAGTTAAAGAATGTGGCATAAAAAAAAAAATCTACAAATTTGACCCTAGTGACAATTTTTGATTAACATCTCCATTTGTGGATTGCGAGACGTAACTCAATTAGTCAGCCCCCCTCATTTAAAGAAAACAACGCAAGGGGGGTTAGTGGGAAGCGGTCATTTGTACAGGTGATGATCTTAGACAGAGGGCATTAGAGCAAGTTAAAGTATACTCTGATGGATTTTGCCGTAAAGATTTCAATCTTCTCCCATTTTGAACATTTGTTCAGACCAAATGTAGATAAATATGTTCCACTCTGAAAAACGATCAAGTCATTAAATGTGAAGATAATAAAATAATACACACCACAGAGCACCTTTAGGGATTTCTATTCAGGGTAAAAAACAGATTTGTACTGAATGGGACGGTCGACAAAACAAGCAATCAATGTACTTTATGTCACTAGTGCTGATAAAAACAAAAAATATTCAGAAATGGAAAAGACAAGAGATCAAATGTTTAAATTACATTCAAATAAACCTCCACCCAAAAAAAAATTAATCAAAATTAAAATATCAAAATGCAGATTAAACATCAGAAGCAAAAAAAATAACCAACAAACAAACTTACAAATGAAAGGAAGCCTTCTCTACTCAAGATAGATTACAGGTACCTAAATATAGACAGCACCCTTCAAACAGGCAATGTCTCCTTTATCCTGACGTATATTCAAAACTCTTTGACATTGCTACCTTATTTTTTTAAAAACCTTCTTTCTCCAACAGCTGTTCTGACATATCGATTTGCATAAATTTCCCTGAGAGCATTCTTAAATCTTACGTCTTCAGTTCGGTAATGATTGGGGAAAGGGGGAGGGGGGAAAGTGAGGTACATAAAGCTATGCTTAGACTAGACAGTAAACTTAAAACCACAAATAAATGCTATATGTGTGTGTGTGTGTGTGTGTGTGTGTGTGTGTGAGTGTGTGTGTTATCCGAATTGTCTATTATTTTCATACTTGCTCTCTTTATCATGCTATTTACCAGCGGTAGCTAGCGAGGTCTACAACTTCATCGACTACTTTCATGTTAAAGGTCATCATCAGTACATGATGGACAAACTATTATAATTATCATTAATATTGTTATACATGCAAACAAGTAAGTGAAATTGAGAACAATTTCAAGTTGCATTTTTCAATAAGAAGCAAGAGGGGGTGGGGGGGAACATCAGCAAAGAAAAAATGTCACCCAGATCACCTTCTGTCGAATTGGTCATAGCAGGGGGAGGTTGAGGTGGCTGGCTGTCTGGTCGCTGGGCGGCAGCCTCTGGTTCCGGACTGCCCTCTGTCGATGCCGGTCGCTCCTCCTCACCATCCCCTATGTGAGAACAATCCCGAAGTGGCAAAGGAAATGGTAAATGAAAGAAGACAAAAAAAAAACAACCCAAAAGAAAAACCGCGACAGATTTTCTGAGAGCAAGCATCCCAAGCAGAGAAAAAAGTGGCAAACCATGAACGCCTATGTTCTGTTTCAAATCTGGCACTGGAAGAGGAAGACTTGAGGAGGAAGTTTAAAAAATCAGTTTTGTTCCCATTCCGACACAGAAAGAGTATGTCAGATGAGTTGAAAAAAGGCACTGTTCTGTAATCAGGTCGAAAACAACGTTCATTCCTATTTGGTAAACAAACCGAAATTAGAACATTCGAACGCCCCTCAGTCAGACAAACCAGATGCCCAAACTCAACAGTAGCCCCAAAAACAAAAGTTTGCACATGCTGGAAAACACCAAGTCTGAATCCACAGACAATTTTTTTTAAAAATGAAACAACAAAAAACAAACAAGCGGTCATCAAAGTAATACCACAAGATTGTAAACTGAAAGACCGATGACTAAACTACTTATTGTGATCCTACAGTCAGACATTTTTTCAAGAGCATGTCGTGCCTCAAGGTCCCACAAAACAGTCGAGAAATCAGTCTTACCAGTCAATCTCTACTAATGACACCCAAGGATTTCTACTGGCACAGGTGAATACAATGACAAAGTCCCATACTGCCCATACTGGCTTGGAAAAAGAACCAAAAAAAAAAAAGCACCACCAGACATCTTAATTATTAATAAAATTCCCAGAACCCATCCAGTCTTGCAGGATGCCAATTTTTACCCATGTCTCACACATATTTAGAAAAAGCTTCACAACGAACATATTTTTCCATTTCGCAGCAATGTTTTCAACTTCCTTTCCAATGCTTCAACAGATACTCAGTGCATGTTCAATACTACAAGCCAACCACTTAACACAGTAACTCCAGACGTCTATGTACAACAGGACAGATACAAAAACATTCTTCCAAGCCTGCAGCTTCAAGTAGTTCTCAAAGCACACCTACACAGCACTAAAATGGTCGGGGGAGAGGAAAAAATTTTTTCACTAACAAAAAAACACAAAAAAAAGAACAAAAAAACCCCACCAAGAGCAACATCCCATCATCTCTGTTATCTTTGAAAGAAAATTCAGTCATTTTCAAACTAACCTTTCATTCTCTCTTTTAAAAAGTCTGCCGAATAGGATTTAATGGAACTATTATAGCACCCATAAAATACACAATCAAAATGCAGTAACCAGTGCACCAATTGCAAAACTTACTTAAAACAGTGTAAAAATCAGTGGATAAGCATGCAAATTTGAAGAAAGTTCTCTCTCACAGCATTAATCCAGACCTAATTCAAATAGTCTCAAAACAGGATTAAAACAGAACCCCAATGTTTAAAATTTCTGGGCCAAAGTAAGTCAGATTGATTGTTTATTGAGTCTTGTTTGAGACTCAAGCCATGACATGGTCCTGTAGTATTTTTTTTGTCTTCAGTCAAAATTGTCCAAAACCAACCACCCATTGTCAAAGAAAAAAGTGAAGTGATTGTCTTAGACAGGTGGACATTTTTAAAAGTGTCAATATATCATTTCTTTTTAAAGCAAGGGAGAAGTGAGAAGTGGTAATTTATACAAGTGATTGTCTTGGACAGGTGTTCTTAGGCACAGGTTTAACTGTATTTTAAAACTAGATCTCCCTGTTCAATGTCATCAGTCATAAAACAATTATAGCCCATGTCATTTTTTTTTTCAGGTTTCTAGATATTGAGATATTAAAACTGCCTGTTCCCTGTTTCGAATCTTCAATACATCAGGTTTTTGTTTCGTGTATTGAAAATCCAACCATTGAAACATTTCCACTTTTGCAGGAGTAATAAAGATGACCTAAGCAAGCACTGCTTTTTAAAAATTTTTCTCAAAACAATTTATATTAGTCATTGTGTTATGACTGTCTGGATGTGAGCTTACTCATTCATATCTATTGCGTCATTCCTAGATACCATAGATTTTTTTTTAGCCACAAGCCTAAAGAAAAATAAAGAGAAGCAAAATTTGAAAAATTTGAAAAAAAGTTCCATGACATCATCCACAAAAGAAAATGAGCTCCTCAACCAGCAAGACAAGAAAGACAAACCATACATATGTTCCTCCCAACGCGCTCACCTTTAGAAACATTGTGCACAATATCGTAGAGGATGCTGGAAACAATGGCCTCAGAGGTCTCCGGAGCTGTGCCCTTGCCCTCAGACTCCGCCGAACTCTCTCTTTCGGCTGACCCGTTTCCCGAGTCGGGGCTACTTTTGTCCCCAGCTGAAACGGGACGCACAATAATGAGGTCTTTGGTATGTAGAACAAACTAGTGTTTTAATTATCAGCTCTGCTCGTTCCGCACAGCAGAGGCAAAAAGAAACAAGGGATGAATAGATAGATAGCATCTGTATAGCGCTAATTCCCGCTCTATGCGCTTCACAATCTATACTATTACCCAAGCAGACCTGAGAGCATTCTGAAACAACCTCAACTTCCTGGGAGGCATACAGAGCAAGCAGCCATTTATAGGCGTTAAAACACTAACATACTGACAAAATCTTTCGCTGTCTATGGGCGGGTACCTATTCCCACCAGGGTGAAGTGAGGAAAATTCGTGTAATGTGCCTTTCCAAAGGACACAACATCGGGCCCGCGGCTTGGACCCCCGAACCCGCAACCTTAGGATTACGAGTCCGGTAGCCTAACCACTAGGCCACGGACGCCACCAAAAAACATGTTGAAGCAAGGAGAGAAGCACCACATACATGCCGTCATCCTGACAGGGTTGGGAAAGAAAAATATACTATGGCAACACTGAAATAACAGGCACAAATGCTCACAACACGTAATCCATCAAAGATCAAGTTCTACCAACAAACCCAACCAGCCGAACAGTCTAAAAGACTAAACGGGCAAATACAACAAAAAATAATCGTTCACTTTCTCAGAGGTCCCCGCATGTTTCCTATTTCAACGGGTGATAACAAGACTTCTTTTCTACTAAATGGCACGTCCGTCTCTCTTGTATTCCATTTATTCACTCATCTAGGAACTGAGTGAAATGTCTTCCACTAACAATAACACTTACATAAATAATTACATTCCTAAAATACTTGATACACTGACCTCTGGATGGGTCATCAATGCCAGCCCCTTCTTCATCACCTGTCAGGGTCACCTCATCTCCGTCTCCTTCCTCGTTCTGCACAGAAACCCCTTCATCCACCGCTTTCTTCTGAAATAAAATAATATTGTGAAAATGACCCTATACTCCATATAAGCTTGGTACTCAAGCCTCCACAATTCATCAGATTTATTTCTACAACGTGGACACATACGACCTTTTCAAAAATCACAGACAGATCAAGAGGGACTGAGCCACAGTGAGTGGCAATAATTTTTTTAAGTCTGACATCTCGAAGAACATGCCTCCTATAGCCGAGTTCATATACACAAACCCCTGAAAACGGCTTTTCAGTTTCTAACAACCATGCAAAAAAATGTTATAATAGTTTGCTGGCAGTTTCACAAATCAAAATGCAATAAACACGCAGAAAAAAAATATAAAAAAACCCTTCCCTATCCAGTGACAAGGTGGGTCTTTCATCAAAAAATCATTTCAGTAAGCCAACTTGAGAAACTTTCCTTGAGTCCTTATCCCACCCATAATTTACGCTCATCTACCCTGTGTGCAAGATATTCAGGGCATCTGTGCCAATTCTCTTTTTGTAAAAGTGTAACTTTCTTTGTGCGTAAATTTTCATCTTTACGTATTTCACAAATTTTCACCTTTTGTCTATCTATCCTATTTCACCTTTCTCCAAATACTGTTCCTCGTTTTAAAAAAAAAAAGCAGTGGCAAAGACATTTTCAAAACATTCAGAGCACTTTTCATTTTCCACAGAAAAGTCACATGAGCTCCCCTGTGTGAATAACGCAAGCCACGGTACACTATACCTCTTGTCCGTTCTGCTCCCCTTCCGCCTTGGCCGACATCTTGCTCCCACTTCTGTCCCTTTGTTTCTCCTCCTGAGCCTACAGAGGAAGGAGACAGGATATTCTGCTTAGCAAACGTCCGGTGAAGTGAGGCAGAAAAAAACAAGGGATAAATAGATAGATAGCATCTATATAGCGCCAATCCCCGCTCAACAGCAAGCTCTATGCGCTTCACAATCTATACTATTATCCCAGCAGACCTGAGAGCATTCTGAAACAACCTCAACTTCCTGGGAAGCATACAGTGCAGGCAGCCATTTATAGGCGTTAAAACACTAACATACTGACAAGATCTTTCGCTGTCTATGGCCGGTCTCAGTCAGTTTAAGTGCATCTATATTCATGTAAACCAACACAGGGAGGCGGGAGGGGGCAAAATAATTTTAGCAAACACCCAATGCATAGTTTCAAAACAATTGGGGGTCTAAGACAGTTCAAGTGCATATTCATTCAAACAAAAAAAAACACCAAAAAAAACAAAATAATTGTTAAACAAAAAATATTTTTTTTAAAGAATCATAAAGCCTAAACGGCATCATTACAGACATCAGAACAAGTGGAGCTCCTGAAAATGAACAAATAGCAGGACCAAATAACTCACACAAAGTAAAGGCTAGACATACTAATATAAAGATCAGCAACAGGACCTTTAACAAAATCATGAGGCAAGATGCATAGTAGAAACCACTTGGAAATGAAGACACTCCAAAACAAAATAAAAACATTTTTTTAATGGTAACATTTCAACAGAGTCATATGTGAGGCAGCGTGGTGAAATCAAGCTCTCGTCAAAGGAATCAAAGTGAAGAAACATCCTTTTTTCCGCAGGTTTGTGAATTTTGATCAAATGTTTGTTTTTTGGCTCAACACCTTTCATGCCCTTTACAGAACTCATTTTTGTGTGGATTTTTCAGTAAAAACGTTGATTAAAGGCACAAAAAGGTAAATTTTAAGTTACCAAGAACTCTTAAGCTAAGGAAATAACTAATCTTTGGTGGCCATTTTCTCATTAATTTTACCTCTGAAAACAGGTGACCCCCATCTCCTTCTTTCGCAAATATCTAGACTTGTATTCAAGATAACTGGATATTTTTTCATCCAAATAAAGACAATTGAACAAGCTTTAAGATGATACCAATAACTCTACACATGCCCAAAAAGTTACGAGAGCCTGATTCCACCACGCCCTGACACATATTGTCATTAACATTAGATCATTGTAAAAAAAGCACTAAAGCAGTTTCTTCCCGAACAGTAAAAGAAAGGAAACACGTCTTGCTATTGTCTATATCCCAGGTAACTACAAGAACTTTCCTTTAGGTTTCGGTAAACCATCCTACATCGGCATCAGTAAAAAAAAAAAAAACTCCATTTCCCTTATTTATGTGCAAAACACCAAACATTACTTTCTTCTCACCAGCACTTCTCTGCTCTGAATTTCAAGGACAAGACCTCAGAATCATACAGACTTTTCTTTTTATCCCTTCCCCCATCCATGAAAATTTATTTGTTTATTTGTTTTTATAAGTTTTACAGCACTTGCAACACAAATATATCATACAAGTGCCAAAGATTAGAGGTGTCACAAGAGAGTAACATACCTGGAAAAGGAGGAGAGAAGGATTGCGCACTCATATGACCTTATGCAGTGGCGTGCCCCGTAAAACACTTACCAAACCAAAACAAAAAAGAGACAAGGATATTAAAAGTTTGATAGGAAAGAAGGAGCAAACCAAACCAAAGCGCCTGCCAACTTCCAATGAATTCAACCAGCATCATAAATAAAATAGGACCAAAAAAAAAAAAATGTATCATGTTGACACATCATGAAACATGCACTCTATTTATCCAAGTAAAGATATAAAGAGAAGAAAAACGTCTGCGCTATCACTCACTGCTTGCGCCTCCATGCGACTGAAGATGACATTGAGCATCTGCGTAAGGGTAGCGTTGGCAGTGGTGCGGTTCACAAGGTTGCGACTGGCCAGGTAGATATTGTAGCAAGTCCGCACTGTCTGAAGCACGGTGCCTTCGTGAATCTCGCATGTCGTTGAGGTGACCACAGTCAGCAAAGCCTGAAAAGGCATACAAGGCACATGACCGAAAAAGCCAGCAACATTTAAAAAATCAAGCCTCTTTACATTCCACTCAAGACAACACTGACCACAAAAGAAATTCACATGTGTCAGACAAGCACCCTTATTCAATATTCTAAAATTATCATTCTAGATCAAACAACATAACAATCCAGTCTGACCAAACATTTTTTTTTTTTTTTGGAATTAAATCAGTTGAATATGCAGTAATTTACTATTAAAGAAGATCAAGTTATATCAAACCAGCTCACGTATAGAAGAAAAACATTTTTTTAGCTTCTTTTATTTGTTAATCAATCCACATGGCTATAAAAGTGTGCAAAGTTCAATCTGACCCAGATCTGTCAACTGTGATTACCTTGATAACTTGCAGCTGAACCCCTTCGTCAGTTTGTGGCCCATTAAAACAGCCACATATCGTCTCCACTATACGATCAATCAGACGCTTCCCCGGGGTCGTTGAATCAGGTGTGTTGCCCGTAAGGTGGCCATAAGCTATCAGTTTCTGGGATTTTAAAAACAAAAAACAACAAGAGTTTTGAATAGTGGTAAAACTTGACACTTGCATCCTTTTACATCAGGAAAACTTGCAAATTAGAGGGATGTCTGACAAGGAAGCACAATGAATTATAGCAACCTCGGTAGAAAGATATGTCCAACTCGGAAAAGAAACTGGAAACATTCTGTCAAAGTAAAAAAAGCTAAACATCAATGTTATGAATCAGGCTGTGCTGTAGGGTGAAGGGTAATTCTTCACCTCCAAATAGCAAAAAAACAACAACAAACAAACAAACAAAAAAACATGAGCTTTGTATTTAAGCATTTATAATGCATGTGTGTGAGTGGGAGCGCCTGTGGGTTAGCTGAATACTGAAAAGTGTGGACAGTGTTTAAAAAGGAAGATAAAAAGGTAAAGCAGTCTTTTTGAAACCTGGTACCAGTACCGGAACCAACAACAACTAAAAAAAAGGAAAATCAAATTGGTGCTTAAAAAACGAAGACAAAAATGTAGGCAGAGGCTAATATCACTACTACACTCGGTCACTCTCCTTAAAGCAGACACTTCACTATGGACATCACTGAAACCACATCAAATGATCATAAAGGTAACTCATGAATAAGTGTGAACCGCCAGTACCATTAGCTTGCAACTACAACTACAAATGACCATAAAGTAGGCCTACATTCACAGTCTAAGTATTATGTATACACGATTACATGAACAGTAGCCTGGAAAAAAAAAACAGCCAGAGGGCACATAGCTTGCAACCAAGATCAGGCCAGAGAAAATTTCTTTCAGCAATTTGGGGAGGTTTGAAAATGTAACAATGTCTCCAAATTGTGCAAGAGGATACAGGGAGACTGTGTTCTTCAAGCCTGCGCTCACATCCAAGAGGGTCGCTGTTGTTAGTGATCCAGTAGCATCTAAGCGTTAACTCTTCTGCACGATGCCATTCTGTAATAGCTGCATGTCTGTTCTAATTGTTGTCTTGGGTTGTAGAGGCACTTAGATATGTGGGGTAACTTGGGAAGAAAACATCCCCTCAAATCGGTTAGTCTTCTACAGAAGAACAGATGACGTCCCACTGTCTCTGAGGGGTAGTCACATAGTGGGCAGGCAGCAGACTGCTTTACTCCAATTAGGTTGAGATGTTGATTGAGGGGCACATGTTGTTTTAAGTTGTAAGATTATGGATTGACCTCCCCTCCTCAACTCATTGTCATTAATCGGATCTTTGACCAGTGGTTTATTCATGTGGCCATACATCATCCTTTCTGTCATACATGTGGCCCATGCGTTCATCCAGTCTTCCTTGAGCCTTGAGGTTTGACTTAATCATTTGGCAGCAGGATCCAAGAGGGTACGGTTAAGGCCGACACCCAAAAATTAAAGGGTTCTTTTATCACACACGTGTACACGTAACACAACATTTACATATCAAAAGTCTTAAGGGAGTGGGGAGCTCACATTAAGTTCTAAATCACAAACAAAACAGTCCTTTGCACCCACCTGTAAACAGTCTAAAGCAATGTTAACGATGCGCGGACATTTCGACTGGCACGCAAGCTCAAAGGGCAGGAAGTATTTATCTGCCTCAACAAAACCAGCTTGTTTTGGGATGGGCAAAGCCGAAGAAGACTCTGCAGGGTTATTTGAACTGTAATAAAAAAAAATTTTTAAAGAAAAAAAGAAAGGTGAACTAATCAAACACTTCCTCATAACTCTACATTACATCAATATCTAATATCTAAGAGACTTGATTACCATAATAAACTATGTAAAAATTAAAAAGACCACCCAAAAAAAAAATCGGTTTAAAATACAAGGCTGAAGAAAAAAAATTATATATTATATGAAAACAAAACAACAAACAGGAGATTCATTTTAAAAAATCAATAAACTTCAATTTTATTCGTAACAATCACAATATATAATTCTTATTCTGGGCCAAATCTTCCTAAAGCGTATAAAATCGTTTACAAACCTCTTAGCCAAGTTCAAACAAATAGAATTTAAAGTCAATAATTCGCCTTGCTGCTTATCTGTTTTTGTCATCACTGTTACATGGACAAGAAATACAGTGGTTGCCAAACCAATAGACCCATATCTCCAAAACCCTATCTCCTTGCTCTGATACACTAGGAATATGAGCACTAAATGTCAATCTGTGACCAACAGAAAAGGGAGTCAAATTGGTAACACAATATTTTTGGCACCACTGAGTCACAAGGGAGTCTCACGTTTTGGCAATTGCTCAGGTGTATGTCAAGTGGAGGTTATGATCAGGAAATGCTTTTATAAGATGTGCTTACAATATGTTGTAATGACATTATATTACATGCATCATGGACTACACAAAAAAAATCATTCTCAATACTTCATTACAGGACCATTTTATTTTCAACCTAGTGAACTTGTCCCAACATGAAAATCACTAGTTGGAGAGCATTTTCTAAGTCTTGAAGTTGAACTTTATTTTATTAAGTATTCTTAAAAAGCTTCCTTGTCGCGGGTATGTCACTGCCCAGTGTATTCATCACCTGCCAAACCCATCCTATTTCCTATGAAAATAAATGCTCTCAAAATAAAAAATAGACCTCACAGTTCAATTCAGTGACCGACACATAAACCGGACGACACATTACCTAATGGGAGGTAGGCGGAAAAATAAAACAATCAAATTTGATATAAAAAATCACAAAATACTGAAAGAAAGACAAGAAGCCTAAAAAAAACGGCTCATCTGTAATTATTCTGAGATCAACTAATAAAGTACCTTGTTTTCTGTTCATTTTTCAGCTCATCTGAGGAGACATAGAGGAGAATGATCAAAAGAACATTGAAGAAAATACAAGGGGAGTCAAAATGCTTAGAACAGTCTCACAATGCCTTATAATTTTACTTGTAACCTCTTTTTTATTCCAATTTGGCAAGACTCTGATTATTATTTTCAACTATTTTCTAAACTTTTACCTTATATGAAAGATCTTTATATAAAAACAATAGGCCTATATGATGAAATGTGCACAAAAGATTTTTCATCAATATCAAAATCAAAAGGAGGGTATCACCAGTCCAACAATCTCTAATGAAAAGTAATTTTAAATTTAAAATGATAGGTAATCCAACAAAATTATCATTTCAAATTGTTATTATTTCAAATTGTAACACATTTTATTATTTTGACGAGCGTCTGATTTTACCACACAATGCCTATTATAATGTCACAAGAAAGTGTAAAAACCCGAGACCTACTAACTTGTCATTGTAGAAGATTCAAGAGCCGATTTCCTCTTGAAGTGTATTCACATGACTCTCACTACAGACTATGTACAGTGAGGGGGCTCTTACAATTGTGGCCTTGAGGTTAAAGTGTTCGCTTCTCATTCAATAGGTTTCAGGTTCGAATCCGGAGGACGGAAATTTTTCTTCTCTAAATTGTCTCCTTTCATGATCTCCTTTCTGGCTCTCTTACGATGTTCTGTCATCTGCTTTCGCCTCCATTTTCTGCCCAGTACCCCCTCATCTTCTTTACTCCTGATCTTATGGTAGGAAAGATCTAGACTACACCTCTAGCCTTCTCGGACAAGGGCGAAAAATCTCGGACGTCCCGTGTGCAAGTTGCACACACGTTAATTTAAAGATCCCTTGGTGGTCCAAAATCAATATAGAGTAGGCTTCTGCCACCACCAAGGCAAAATTCAAAATATCCTATCAACTGAAAATGTTTAACTTTAACATGCCCCACACGCTCATATGACATTATAATGCAGTTGCAAGTGCCGTAAAAAACACTTACTTTGAAACAAAAGACTTGTTTCAAATCTTAGTCAGGCTCAGGGCTCAGTAGCCTACACTGAGCAGGCAAAACATTTTCCGTCTTAGACCAGATTATGATGGAGACTATTTAGCAGACAGACTCTGGCATGGATCCTGAAGAGGGGGGGAGAGCAGAGATGGACAGGTTCCGACAGCAGTGACCCCAACAGTTGCCAACACAGTGGACAAGTAAGACAAGTTAGACAAGTTTAAAAGGTAAAAACCATCAGGGAAGGAATTTCTCTTTCAAGTCTTTACATGAAAACATGTTAGAGAGGCGGGTCTCTGTTTTACTGATTTATCAGCGATTTTTTAGGAATGCATCAAGCCAAGGCTCAAGGGGGGAGTTTGACTGGTTCAAAAGCAGCAGTTGCAGAGCGATTTTTAGGCTTGGCTGTCTTCTGCTACTGACCCTCTCTGACCGAGTCTCACAAGTGTCAAGTACCCGGCCTTGTGGATTGTTACCCCCTCCCCGACTGAAATTGATCAATACAATGGGGACTACTAATCTGTATGAGTACTTTTGTTTGTTTTATGCAAGGTGCTAACGTTAAGAATCACCAGATAACGATATCAACAAACAAAACATCCACCTACCGAGTGCAACTTCACAGGCTTTCTTCAGTTGCGAGTGATGTGCTTTCTTGATTTCCTTATCTGACAATATTTTTTCCAAAGCCCTTGTAAGGAACATGTTTATCCTTACGGTGTGCGGTGAGGCACCGCAATGAATTAACTTCCAAAGTTCTATGCACAAGAGTTTACTAGCGAATCAAGTCATTGAACACAGTCATTGACTATTGACGGTAACATAGGCCGTGTCAGAAAAAACAAGTATCCGGATCCGCCATGCTGGCGTCACGTGACTATATTCGTACTAGAATTATTTAGTAATTATTATAAATTAGTAATACAAAGTATTTTCAATATTTATCACCTTTTATGAAACAAAAATGTATGAATTCTGTCAAAATAGGGCAATATTTCTGTATTTGTATTTTATTTTCACGGCTGCTTGGTACAAAATGATGAAACTAAAATTCTACGACGGCAGCCATTGTTTATGACCATCATAACTAAACTTCCGGTTTCATTTTTCATTTATCTAAACACACGTTCTCTGCATGGCATGCTTGTATTTCATTAATAAGATCGAATGCTCTTTGACAACGTTAGGTTGGAAAAGTCAAAAGTGAAACGTATAAGTGAGGCGAACTGTTAAGAGTTTTGAGCTATTGTTATCACTATGGAACAGGAAGATGATAGGCTCACTGTTCCTGAGGGTTGGAAAGACGAGCCTTTCACACGTGAGGATAACCCTCGAGGTTTATTGACAGGTGAGAAGACCAGAAGAAGAGGCTCTATTTAACTGAATAAAAAGTACTCTGAACTGAGTACTTAGTCGAGTGTTTAGTATGACATGTCACAAATATCTAGATCTACATGTCTTTATCCCCATCTCAGTCGGAAGGACAAGATCAAGAAGCTGAGAGTGTGTTCTCACGATTTTAAAAAAAAATAGAAAAACAAGCACACACAATCTACGCACTCACACACCCACACACACACTCACACACACATACAAATACTTATTACACACACACAAACGCACTCTGCATACGCTTGTGGCCTTCCACGCACACACACTCTCACCAAACTAACAGACAAAAAAGGGGAGGACTTCCGTAACGAGTGACCACTATGAGACAGAGCAGAATTGAGGGCTTGGGGTAGGGTTAGGATTAGGTCTAGGCCTCTTCTTTAACTTTATTGTGTTTGATGGGGTGGTCGCTCGTTACGGAAGTCCTTCCCAAAAAAGATACTCCTCAGCTCTTTTCTTGTTGCTGTTGTATGCTGCTGATGTTATGTTGTAATATTTGTTGCCTCTATATTTGGGCTGTCCATAATGTGTACAGATACGGTCAACTCTAGATTCTACTACAGAAAGTCTTTTTGGATTTTTGCCAAGTGCTCTTAAAAGTTCACTTTCTCAACTGTTTCAGATGATTTCTTTCTTCTTTAACTCATTCGCTACGCCGAGCCGTGGGGGGGCGGCGCGGCTAAAGCTAAAGTGCCGTCAGTATGCTAAGCCGCCCCTGGCAGCTCGAGACCGACGTTCAATTTTAGCTTGGTTTCTATTCCAATCCATATATCCATGTTAAAATAAAGGTCATAATATAAAGTTGACTTCCGGGTCAAGCGTTTCCACCAAAAATCGGAAGTTTTGATTCAGTTTTGAAACACAATTTCGAAGTTTATGCAACATTGTTTTATTGCAAAGCCCAAATTATAGCCCAGACACTCAGTCTTAGTACTTTACACAACAAAATGTATCATTATTTTGCTCACTAAAGAAGTGTAGGACTCTTTATAATATTGATACTACTGGACTCAAATTGCCAGTGCACTGTAATTGAGAAATCAATACTTTTTATGCTGGATCTAAATATAGGCCTATATTTATGAAAGTGGCTATTCTCACCCGCCCGGAAGTTCTCGCAAGATCAACTCCTCCCCTCTTCTCTCTCTCTCCGTCTCTTTCTGAATACTGTCTATCGGTGTGGACGATCAAATTGACCAAAACAAAGTTTAAAAATGATGTTAAAACACAAAAGTAAATAAATTTGGTTGTCTACAAAGATGCTACGGCTATTTAACTTTTCGAATCGAGCCGAACTACGCAGGTCGCCATTTTGTTTTGCCCGGAAATTCTCGCGCTACTCCTCTCTCTCTTTCTCTCTCTCCACTGCCCACAGACAAAATTGTACGCTTTTAGTAGGCTACAATTGTAATGGAACGTTTGTTCACGGCACAGAATTCTACAATTTTTCTGTTATCACAGTGTAGAATTCTGTGGTTTAGGGTGAACGCGCACCGGGTGAGAATAGCCACAAGACTCGCCTGCACTATTCTCACTCCGGGTGAGAATAGAGGTGGCCGATATAAATAGTCAAAATTTTTTTTTTCTCCCCAAAATCACAACTTTTCCTCTCTAAACTTTCTGAGCAGTGACCCGTTAAATGTTCATGCTTTTACCATCCTTGTCCTGAAACCAGAATGGGCCGACTACGTCCATGTAGCTAAATGCTTTAGAACTCACTTGTAAAGTTTGCGTTTTACCCAGTTTTGACTGAAATTGTTAAAACTTGATGTTTCTCAAACACATTGATTGATTGTCTTCATATTCACTCTAAGGTATCGAAAAAGTGTCGTCACGCCCCACCCCGCCCCTGCGCTTATTAATTTTCTTCTTTTTTTTTTTGCGCTATACAACTAACTACATCATGTATAGACAGTTGCATTCTCGAGTACAAAAGGCAGACCTGCCACTCATCCCGATTTAATCGGGATATCCCGATTTTTTGCCCCAAATCTCAAGCATCCCGATTTTCCCGATTTCGATCGCCGGTATCCTGATTTTTCGTGGTTGCGTCTGTTGCGTTCGATTCTTAGAAAAAAAAAAAGTTCTGCAATCTCTTTTGCTTGGAAGCACCGATTGGACTTTTTATCTGCAGGAACTTGGAACGCTATTTTCTAAAGCATCTATGCCGAATCTAGGTCTAGTAGATGGCTAACGTACGTTATTTAAACTAAAATCGACCTAATTTCAAATGCTCACTCGCATCACATGACATGACCTCGTACGTGTGGTGAGTAGCGCGTGTGTCGGGGACCGTCGGTTGTCGGGGTCAACAAAGTTCATTCACACCGGTCGCGTTGGTCGAGGTGTTTTTCGGGACTTAACCAGTTTGGACGGCCGGGGGCAGGGGGTGGGGGTATTGTTTTGACACTTGGGTTTAAAGTGCGTGCCGTGATACATCATGTACTAATTAAGGGGAAAGGAATAAGAAAAAAAATGAACAACCTTGGCGCGATCTTTTTTTCGATGTGATGGAAGTCAAACGTTGTTAAAACGCGGGCGTTTTGCGTGGATGATTAGAGTTACGTGTCAGCTATTTTCAAGACTACGAGTGTTTCAGCATCACTGCGACCTTCGCTCCCCCAGTCTATCCAACTTCGACTCGAGTACATATATGCTGTCAAAGTTTTGCCTTGCATATTTGCCTCTTAAAAGGGAACCAGGACACACACCCCCCCCTCCCCACCTTCCCCAGTGCCCTTTATGACTGATTTGCCGTTGATCCCGATTTTTTTCACCAGATCCTGATTTTTTAACTCAGAAATCCTGATTTTTAGATTTCATAGAGTGGCAGGTCTGAAAAGGGCACTTCCCATCTTTACCCTAACTGTTCTTTCATTAAATTGGGGGGGGGGGGTTGCTTCAAGAGACCTCTAAGTCTAAGTTCGATTCCTGTGTTTAGAGAATTTTTACTGGATCAATCTTTCTGCTATGATGTTGTATCCCTCTCAGTCAGATCAAGTTGGCTCTGACAGTAGTGACAGGCAGGGTCGAAGCTCGCCTTCTAAATGATCTAAATTGTGTTGCTCGAGGGGAGTGTAAAACACACCTGATGTTCCATTTAAAATATTTTCAAAAATTTTAGTAAAATCTCTTGGGGAAAATGTTTCTGCTTACTGCTACCACTACCATTACTTGTCAGATTCTAATTCTTATTTTACCATTTGATGCATGTTTAAATCACTGTTTTTCTTGTTTTCTTCTTAACTAGAATGTGTTTGATTCCCTTGCTTTTGAAGAAAGTATGACACTATGTTTCCAATGTCATTTTGAAGTAAGACTTGTACTTAAATTATGATTGTCTTTTAAGGGCTGTTGTGGTCTAGGGGTACGGTGTTTGCCTCTCATTCAATAAGTCCCGGGTTCAAAAGCTGAAATGTTCTCCTTTCACTTCCTCTCTAGCTTCTCCTATCAAGTTCTTTCATCTGCGCTTTCATCTCCACTTCCTCCCCCCCCCCCCCCCCCCCCCCCCCCCCAGTCAGTAAAACACTTACATCAAAACAAAAAACAAATGTCTTTGAAATGTGTGCGCTTATCTCACACTTTTTCTTTTTTTGTTCCTTTTTTTATTTCAGAAAGTTCATTCTCTGTGCTGTTTCCAAAGTACAGAGAGAGTTACCTGTCCAAGACGTGGCAGCAGGTGAAAAGCACTCTCAGCGAACATGGCGTGGAGGCGGAAATGGACCTCATCAAGGGCAGTCTCTCCGTCCGCACCACCCGGAAAACGTTTGATCCGTACATCATCATCAAAGCCAGAGACTTGATAAATTTGCTGGCTCGCAGTGTGGATCTAGAGCAAGCGAAGCGAGTTCTTGAGGACGACGTTGCTTGTGACATTATCAAAATTGGCTCCATGGTGTCGAAGAAAGAGCGCTTTATTAAACGCCGGAAGAGGTTAATTGGGCCCGGCGGGACCACACTGAAGGCTATGGAGTGTCTGACCGACTGCTATGTTGCGGTTCAGGGGAACACCGTGGCTGCGCTCGGTCCCCACCGCGGACTGAAGGAAGTTAGGAAAATCGTGGAAGACTGCATGAACAATATCCACCCGTTTTTCACTATCCGCACGATTATGGAGAAGCACGATCTTGCCAAAAACCCAGACATGAAAAACCAGAACTGGGCTCCGTATCTCCCGCAGTATAAGAGCAAGAACATAAGTAAACGTAAACAGCCGCTGAAGAAAAAGACAAAGAAGACATACACACCATTCCCACCCCCACAGCCAGAGTCGAAGGTGGATAAGGAATTGGCTACCGGGGAGTATTTCCTGAAGGAGGAGGAGCGTCAGCAGAGAAAGACGGAGCTAAAGAAGCAGAAGCAGAAACAGGCGAAACAAGATCGGCAACAGAAGAGGGACAAGTCGTTCATTGCTCCCGAGGAGGCAAAGGAACCCCCAAAGAAAAAGTCAAAGGGGGATGGGGATTCGAAAGTAGATTTGAAAAAACTGAAGCAGAAATTTAGCAAAATCTCCAAAAAGAAAACATAGAGGAAAGTGTCTTTTGTGGATTTGTTGATGTTGGCTCTTCAAAAATTTGTTCAAAATTCCTTGACATGACCAATTTTTCTGTTATTTATATCAGTTAAGGTCTACGTTTCAGTCAAAGACTATCGTTCATTGTGTACACAATGTGAGGTTTATCAATCATTGTTGTTGAAGTTTGATGACTGGTGTTGTTTTACATTACAAGGGACTACACAGCAGGTCTGGAGGTAAAGTGCCCAGTCACTGCAAATCATACACATGGTCATGTATAATTATAAACATCAGAAAGCGTCCTAGTTTGTTTTTTTAAAAGCCCCCCCCCAAAAAAAAATGTTTTTTTTAAACATACATTTTGTACTAGTTGTTTAGAACTGGTGTGTAATTAAAGCTGCACTTGATTGTTGCAAGGTCTACAAGTATCAAAAGTTGAGATCGATGCCCTTTCCTGGGAAACCTGACATATTCTACAACTCGAAATTTCAAGTAGCGGCATGCTTTGGGTATAGGATGATTTGATTTTTTTTAGTGAAAAACATTTTTTGGTGCGTCTTTCTGCTGGGCAGTGTAAAGATAGGCTGTTGTAATTAACTCTCATTCTAGTCTGCAGAATGTATTGTTAGCCCAGAGGCATGCAAAAGAATATACACTTGAATTCATGCTTAGGAGCATGTATTAGAACAAGTTAAAAGCATGCATGATGTTTCATATTTATAAGGTCCATGAAATATTTACTGGTTTAGATATTATTGTTACGACTGTCATTGATAGTATAGTGTCTTATGTTCCTCTTCTTTCTGCTGGTGATTACTTGTCTTGGGTGAGGTGGTAGTGTTTTGTTTGCTGTAAATATATGATATTAAAATTTTGATGAAAACTTTTTTAAGGATTTTGTTTGCTGCTGAGGATACATCCTTTGTACTGTGTTCTCATTATCATTAAGTCAAGTGAACCAGCATCTGTGGTGTAGCCGTACGTAGCAGTTAGTTAGTTAGGCGCTTTGCTTTTGCATATATATAGAGAGATAACTCGAGTTCAAGTCCTGTGTAGGGAGAAAAAAAATGTCTTTCTGCTGGAATATTGTATGTTATCCGTCTCAGCTTGGGTTGGCCATGGCTGGCAGAGTCAAAGCATCCCGTCTCCTCAGTGATCTTAATTGTGTCAATGAGGATGTAACACCAGCGTGACATGTTGGGGGGTTTTTTTGTTTTTTGGGGGGGTTGTTTTTTGTTGGGTTTTTTTTAATTTAAGTAGAGTGGCGTCCTCGAATCAAGTCAGATTTTTTTAGTGATGGATCCCTTGAAAAGAATGTTTGTGTTTTGTATTGTAACTGTTCTCCCCTTACTCATTAAAAGAGACTGACCCTCAGGCATCTGTGGTGTAGTGATTACTCTTTTGGCCTTTGGAGGCATAAGATGTGAGTTCGCTTCCAGTTTTGGGAAGTTCATTTTCAAGTATCTCTATCTTCTTTTAGGAGGGGGCAGTGCTGCATCCGATTTAGATTTGTTGACCCTGACTGGGTAATGCCAAATCAGACAGTCTCCATTCTAAATTTCCATTTTGTGTGGATTGGACTATAGAATGTGTCTTGTCAACCACAAGGCTCTCGATTTAAGTCTATGAAGACCTTTCTGGCATTTATGCTAATACAAGTTGCTACAATATACAGCGGAATGATCCCTGTTTAATTTCCTGTTGTTTTATTCCTCTCACGTTACTTAAGCAAGTTCTGCGAATTCCACCCCATAGCGTACTGTAGTTTGAGTAGAGTAGACATGCGTAGTCTAGCACGCGTAGCAAAATCAGTGGGACACTGAAACTCTTTTGCCTTGTACCTGTAGAGTAAATGTTTGACATACGACGAGGAATATATATAAAATAAGAAATAATTTAGGAACATGTTAATCTGTTTGCTGTGTGCCTCTTTCGCTATGTGCGAGCTAGACTTTTGAAAAGGCTCCTTTACTTAATGATTACAATTTACAGTGGAGTCTGCTTAACCCCAACAAGGTGAAAAATCTAAAAAGAGCGCGAAAGAAAAGAAAATCACAATTTATTTTCTTCTTTTTGAGCAGCCTCTCTAGGCCAAAAAACTCAGCTAAACTTTAGAAATTTTGGTGGTCCCACGGATTTTGGTTTAAATTTAAGTGGACTCGACTGTATTCGTAAAGAGCAGTCTAAGAAAGACAACAAAATATTTGTAATGGTTGTTCTGTACCGTAATAGAAGTCCCTCGCTTTAAGGTGGACCAGCCAGAGGTCACATCATGTACCATAGAGAGTTGACAATCCATTGTTGTTACCACTTTTTGATCAAACCCACCTTGATTTCGTTCAAAGCAAGACAGAAGATAGAAAATACATGTACAAAAGTGTCTGCTTGACACACGATCGAACCTGCTTTAAGTTTAAGGCTTTATTTAAAGTTAAAGTGCCGACTGTACAGTTGATAGCTTCTATTCTCACTTCCCCCTTACTTTTTTTTGTCTATAATATCATGGTGACGACACTACCCAAGATATACACCTGTCAAAGACAACCATTTTTTCCTGGACAGTACAGTGTGTGGCTGTCATGGACTATTTTTACTCTCTAATTCTGTTCTTAACTACAGTGGAGTCCACTTATAACGAGTCCGGAAAAAACGAGAAGTCTGTTGTAAAGAAGACACTATTCTAAAACCCCGTTTTTTTTTCTCCTCTTTACCTTTGTAAATAAAATACTGCTATAGCGTTATCAGACAAACAAGTGAGTCGGTTATAGCGGAATATTCCTGCTGCTGTGCACAGTTCATAGGCCAATTATACATATGCAGAACCTCGCCAGTTGAGAAACTTGTTGGTGATCTTGCGAAACAAAGAATAGGGGAGCCCATGTGCGTCAACAATGAAGGCCGGAGCAACTGAGTAGGGAGGGTGTGGCATGCGCAGACAAGCAGAATGCATCGCGTGATAGGCCAGCGTAAGCCTAGTTTAGATTATCAAGGCCTACCATGCCTCTCACTTCTGAAATGCGGGGATGGAGAGGTCACAGCAATGTGATGGATAGAGCAAATGTGTGACGTGCGCAAGCAGACAGAATGCACCACAGGGTGGGGTGGGGTGGGGGAAAACACAGCGGGTGAGTTAGCCCAGAACCGTTTCTTTCTGATCGCTAACTCCGAGCTGTCAGTCCACATCGCTAGATCTAGCGCTAGAGAAAGAAGCCTGATTCGATTTTTGATCAAGTAAGACCTAGAGGTCATGTTGAAACAAAATCATCATCAGGGGAGATAGCAAAAGGAAATAAACAGAACACCAAACTCATAGATTAGGCCTACTTTACAGTTTCCCTTGAACTTATTACTGGATCCCTTATAGCGAGGATCCTGCTATAACGGACATTTTGCTCCGGTCCCCTCCCTCTCGTTATAACAGGATTTCACTGTACTAAAAGTGACCAGGTAGCATATTGTTCAGTAATTGATAGAATTCTATTTTTATTCTCTAGCCTTGAAGTACCGATACTGGCTGAAAAATGTGTTGCAGAACTGAGGGTTGGAAGGGAAAAACACGCAGATTTTGTATCATCACTATCATTATGCACCAAATACTGGTGCAAGTTTGGGAGCTTTCATCCTCCAAATAGTATCATAAGTGAATTGAATTCCAGAAAAAAACAATGTAATATTGAGCCATTCAAGTTACTCTTTATTGAATATGAAACAACAAACACAAAATACAAGAACTATGACATTATTTCCATGCTATGAATGAAGTAAAAAACAGACAGACTGAATAATAATAGGACAGAATTCGTCATTGCTCTTGGTGTTGGAGGGGGAGACATTTCATTCCGTGACCAAATGCATACCGTAGCAACAACAAAAAAATGTAGTCCTGATGTTACTGATAAAGATTAAAGAATTTGTGCTGCCAGAGTCAGTCTGTCCAATGACACTGACACACCTGTCTTTCACTCCACTGTTCTGAATGGCTGGAGGATGCCACTGCTATATAAGTCCTACATGTGTGGGTGGTTGGCGGGTGCTCTGGTGTGGTTTGCTCCTTCTTTCCTATCAAACATCTATCATTCTTATCTCCCCCTCCTTCTTGTTTATGTTTGTTACTCTCTTGTAACACCTCTAATCTTCTGGCGCTCATATGACTATGACCTTGTGCAGTTGCGAGCGCCGTAAAATTTCTACTAAAACTAAACTAAAAGTCCTACATGTACTTCTTTACTTTCAATTTGTTGTTTCTGTCCGTCTTACTTTTCCCCTGCACTAAATTATAAATAACAATTATTGTTTCAATGTGCTCCCCCTTTACTCCAACCAACTCCATTGTCTCTACTTATTCATAATCATAGTCAAATTTCTGCAAAATCTGTACTTTCTACAATGTGTTTTGCATACATGTACATATATAGAAGAATATTGTGTGACCACACAGAAGGCTTGCTGCTTTTTCTTTCCTAATCCAATACTATTGTCATTTTTTCCTCTACTTCTTTTGTGTATGTTTGTAATTTGTTTGTCACTCTCTTGTGACCCGCTATTTCAGGGGTGCCTTGATAGTCGAAGCAGACTTTGTGCTGTTGAAGTTTGAGAGGTGAGCAGAGTAGGCCTGATTCCCTGTACTGTATAGACTTCTCTGTTGACATCCACCCCTTGGCGCTCCATACCTTATGCAGTAGCGAGCACCGTAAAAACTCTTTTTTTTTTGTTTTTGTTTTTTTATAGTAGAGTGTTTTACGGCGCTCCATTTTCAGTTGGTAGGAAATTTTGAATTTTTGTCCGGGTGGCGGCCGAAGCCTACTCTTATCGATAAAAATGTTAGTGTTAGTAATAATAGCAAAACATGTAGTACAAATCTTAAAACAACAGGAATGTTGACAAAGAAATACAAAATCAGCCTTTTTAATATTGTGTACCATAATAAATTTATATCATCATTCTAAAATAATAAAGATGATAACAGCATCAATGATTTCACTGTATACTATTGACTCTTTCGGGTCATTTGAACGCTTGAAGACACACCCACCTGGATGACTAAAAATAGCATAGAGACTTAAGTTCTTTATTGTTCATGCAGGTTTTGCAAATTCTGTTTTCTTTACATGAAACTTAAAAAGGCAGACTACAAACAACATGTAAACTATTAAATGTTAAGATTTCTGTTTCTGGTTGCGTATCTGGGGTTCAAAATGTGCCGCAACTTTTCATTACGTCTGCAGTTGATTGGTTGGACTTCTGTGTCCACTAAGTCCTTAAACTTTTAAAAAAGAGTTAATTATTTGGCAGCGGACTTATTTTGTTCCTCAAACCATCCACGCTGAGGTGAAAGTTTTCCTTAGAGCTATAATTCATGTATACCAAGCCTACGTATATAGTAGTATAAGGCCTACTTTACATTACATGAGTTAACTCCATGTTGTTAAGTGGTCTTGAAAATTTATAGAAACATTTGTTGGAGTTGGCATAAAGGAGTGTATGGCACAACAAAAGTAATGGCTACACAACATTTAAAGTTTTACGGCTCACTGTCACTGGCTGACTTACAAAAACAAAGTAACCTGTATGAATATAACGCTTTTGTATTCTTTTATCGAAACAAAAGAAAAAGAATCCGTATAATATGGATAAGAACACACAAAATTAGAACAGGTTTTGAAATAGCAATCAAATGTAAAGCGTATGTACAATATAATATAGGCAATTGCAATAATACATGTACTTTGTGGAGATGAAGGCATCACCACAGTTCTTCAATGAGTTGAGCAGTGAAAAAATATTATATTAGGGATATTGAATTGAGAAAAAAGATTTGAAAATCATGGCCATCCATATCTTGTCCTGTACTCTGTACAGTACTGTCCAGTCATTTTGAGAGATTGTT